GATGCTTTACATGGTTTGCTCTGTTGAATAAGCGATGCTTTACATGGTTTGTTCTGTCGAATACATGGGATGCATGTTGTTCTAGCACCCGGCGAGTTGTTTCAAGTACCTGTGTTTCCAAATGTTCAGCAGACATGGAGGGGAATTTCAAAATATATATCGATTTGATGTCGCTTACATTCTTTCCGCATGATGTTACAGGTATATGATAGCACTTCTCGTTACGGGTATATGATAACGTGTTGCACATCTGGCCGTATTTCAAGCAGTTGACTAGTTACTATCTCCATTTCTTTATGTGTTCTTGCTTGATCTTGATTTGTTGTCTGTCACAGGGAATCTGGGGGTGTTGCAGTAAAAGCTCCTCTAAGAAGGCTTGCCATGCCCTAATATCCATCTCCTGCGCCACGTATGCACCCCTAGGTTGGGCAGATCTTCCAGACAGACCTCTCTATGAGATCATTGCTCTATTCACCTCCTTCCATGAACTCCTCAGAGTTACTGGTACATGTTGGTTTTGGCGTTCAGCCTTCTTCTCCTACCCATCGAAATTTACACTCCCCTTCCTCCCTCTTGTCCTCGAGCCTGATGCTTACCCCATCGTAGCTATTTTTTTTCAAAAAGGGGAGTACTCCGGGCCGCATCATAGCTATTACCCTTATAAGATTTTCTCCAAAACCAAATGGGAGCCCATCTGGCTGTATTTCAGCACCCCTGCCCCAGAATACCCTGGACACCTTGCACTTTGTAGGATGCTTGTATGGCTATCTCATCTTCTCCTACCATGAACAGTGTGTCCATGTCAATGTGAGCACCGGTGCCTAAATTGTTAAAATTATGTGTCGAATATTATGTGTACGAGTCGTGCTACAGTTGGACTTGTAATTAGCGGAGGGTTAGGTGTTTGAGTTGAACACGTGTAACCCGGGCCTATTCTATAAGAGCATCTCCAACAGCCGCGCAACACGCCGTGCGCTAAAAACTAATTTGTCGCGCACCCTTCGCCTGGTTTGGCGTGGCCGGCAGCGCTGGCTCCAGCACGCGCTCGCAGCTCCAGCGGCCGCGCTAAAATGCAGCGCGCGCTAAACATTGCGTATATTTTTTTAATAAAAACGATAAATAAAATTTATAGATAAAAACGATACATAGATATTTTACATAGTTCCATAGCATAGATAGATTAAAAAACTACAGTGCAACGACATAAAAAAACTACTAGATAGTGCAACTACGGCCTACTCCCAGTCGTCATCATCATCATCATCATCATCACCATCCTCGCTGGTCTGGTCCGAGGTATCGAGCCACATGTCCTCCCAACGGTCATCATCAGACGAAAAGATCGTCTGCCCACCATTTTGAACTATTTCGCACTGCGTTAACGCCAGGGCCTTCCGCTGACGCCTGTCCAACCGCTCCGCGCGGCGCTTTGCCGTCTGCTCCTCGCGGCGCCTTGCCCAGAAGGCTTCCTCGTTGGCGACGTCGGTGGTGCCGGCGCCACTCCGCCATGGCCCGCTCGTCCTCCTCGGCGACGAGGAGGCGGCGCTGCCGCCGAGCGTGCTCCGCACGGTCTTGGTCCGTGATAAGACGAGGCGGAGGGGCGACGTCCTGCGCCTGCTGGCGCGTGTGGACATCCTGGAAGTTCATCTGCTGGCGCGGCCTATCCAAGCGCCACGCCGCCGCGTCGTAGGCGCGTGCGGCCTCGTGCGAGGTTTGGAACGTACCGAGGCCGAGCCGGACGTCGCCGGATCGAATCTCGGCGGAGTACCAGCCGTTGGGGCGCTGGCGGACGCCGCGGTAGCCCGACGCTCCTCGGCGGCGCGGCATCATGGTGGCGCGGCGGTGGCGGGGCGCTGGAGCGGCGAGGAGAGGAAGCGGTGGAGGCGCTGGAGCGGCGAAGAAGCTACGAGGCGCGCGTGGCAGTGTGGATAGGCGCGTGGCGAGCGCCGCAATTTATAGGCGCGCCGGAAGCGGCGCGCCAAAACTAGCGCGCGAGCTGCCGCCCTTTCCCGTGCGCAATTTATAGGAGCGCGCGAAACCGTCCAGCGCACGCTAAAAACCAAGTTTACCACGCGCACGCGCCTTTTGGCGCGGCTGTTGGAGATGCTCTAAGGGCACCGTGGGGTAGCCAAAAAGACTAGACATAAGCTGTAGGCTAAGACAGAGATCACGAGAGGTATGGTCAAGGCGCCCATGGTAGGGATGCTTGGACCGGCCGTGGCACGATGGTCGGAGCGCTGTCTGGTGGCCTCGGAGGGCTTATTGTCGACTGTATCAAGTGATTTGGTACATTAGGAGTTGCACCCGTCATCATGTCCTCGGAATGTAGCCATGTTGGTAAACCTCGTTAACAAATCCTGATGCCGTGCTCGTGCTTATGTGATTACTTGTCCTCGACGAATTGACGGTCGCCTTGGATTAATTCTAACAAGTGGTATCAAAGCACGGTTTCCAAGAGGTTGGGATTGTTGATGTAGAGGAAGCGAAGGATACGACGATATTCTGCTGGGTAGAGTGGTCAAGATTGGAGCGGAAGCTAGTTGATTAGAGCACAAAGAAATTGACGTGCGATCGTCGGCGGGCTGAAACCACGATCTATGGAACAGAGAAGTTTTTTTTGAACGGTCCCCAAGGACCCAGAGACTAGATTTTACTCAACAGAGAAAGTGCATGATTCAGAAAAGAACCTCAAAGAAAAACAAATGACAAGGCAGTCCCTGACATAAGCAAGGAGAACCTCTGGGACCCCAATAATAACCTGTCGTCAAGGCGAGGTGAAGAATGCTGCAACTGGAAAGTGCTCAAGACTGCCTCAGATACTCTGCATATAGAGGTGCGATAAGCCACTCCTTGGTTACTTTACAGCAACTTAGGTATCTAGACTTGAGCTGCAATAACTTCAACTGGACTGAGATACCGGAGTTCATTGGTTCTTTTCCAAGCCTTAGATATCACAACCTTTCATACAATTTGTTCTATGGGAGAGTACCCCCACAGATTGGGAATCTCTCCAAGCTAGCCTACGTGGATCTGAAACTCCCAAGCTATAATCCAGTGTATTCAAGTGATCTTTGGTGGCTTTCATACATGCCATCACTGAAGCACCTCGACTTGAGCTTTATGAACCTTACCACTGTAGTAGATTGGGTCCATGGAATCAACATGCTTCCCAATCTTAGCAACCTTTACCTACAGTAAACTGGCCTAAGAAGCACAGTTTTTGTCCTTGGTCAATCCAATCTTACGGCACTCGAGGTGCTTGACATTTCACAGAACTACTTTAACACCACCATTGCTCCACACTGGTTTTGGAACTCAATGTCCCTCATCGCTCTGAGTTTGGATGGTTGTCGCTTCTATGGTCCTATTCCAGAATATATTGGCAGCATGGCCTCTCTTGAAGAAGCTTATTTCGGGGGGAATAATCTCATGTCCAACATGATACCATCAAATTCAAAAATCTATGGAATCTGAAGATACTAGATCTATCATTCAGCAACACCATAGGGGATATCACGGAGTTGATAGAGCGGTTACCAAGTTGTAATTCGAACAAGATGCAAGAGTTGGACTTGGGAGATAACATTATAGGCGGGGCCATGCCCAGTAGTCCAGGACCTCTTATAAACCTGACCTTCTTGGCCCTGCCTCAAAATAAGCTTACAGGACCTATACCGAAATGGATATGGTCACTCACCGAATTGCTTGTTTTGGATTTAGAAGTCAACCAACTAAATGGTGTGGTCACTGAAGATCACCTACAAAGCCTCACAAATTTGAAGATCTTAATTTTGGGCAAGACACTTCTTCAGATCAAGGTCAGTCCGAATTGGATTCCTCCATTCAAACTGCAAGTGCTTCTCTTAGAGGGTTTGAAGCTAGGGCCGGAATTCCCGTCATGGATTAGATCACAGATAGGCCTTAAGATCCTTATGATTGCAAATGCAAGCATAACTACAGTCCCAGATTGGTTTTGGGTTGGATTTTCAAGGGCAGAACTTGTGGATCTGTCCAAAAATCAGATAACTGGCACACTACCGGCAACAATGGAATTTATGGCAGCAGAAATAATGGCTCTCTCCAACAACAGATTTACCGGTGCAGTTCCAAAATTTCCAAGAAATATTAAAGGCATGTACTTATCAGTGAACTCTTTATCAGGGACATTGCCATCAGATTTTGGAGCAGCGTTGTTGCAGGATCTTAGTCTTTATAACAATTCCATATCAGGCCCCATTCCATCTTCATTATGCTCATTGACACAGTTGACTCTGCTAGACCTATCAGGCAACAAGCTAACAGGGGAAGTTCCAAATTGCGAAGAGGCTTCTAACCCACCCATGAATAATCTTAATGTGGTAAATTTGAATACCAACAATCTGTCAGGAGAGTTCCCAGGAGTCTTTCAAAGTTGCCCCAACCTTGTTTTTGTTGATCTTTCATATAACAAATTCTCCGGAGACCTACCTATCTGGATTGGGGTGAAGTTACGGTACTTAGCATTGTTACGTCTGCGGTACAATATGTTTACTGGACGAATTCCGGTTGAAATTGGAAAGATTCAAGAGCTACAGTATGTAGATCTTGCACACAACAACTTCTCGGGAAGCGTGCCCGACTCATTAGTTAACTTGAGTGCAATGGCCCGTCCTTCTGGACATAGTGGTGTTCTTTATAATGCCATCGGTAGTATAATAGGGCCTCAGGTGTACTTTGGAGTATTTGCTTATGTTTTCTTCGGGGAAAAAGTATCTGTTCTTACTAAAGGGCAACAACTTGAATTTTCCACGCAAATCTCCAATATGGTGGTTCTTGATTTGTCATGTAACAATTTAACTGGAGTGATCCCTCAAGATATTGGGGCTCTCATTGCATTAAAAAGTCTGAACTTTTCGTGGAACAGCTTAGGTGGTGCAATCCCTGAGAAGATTGGTGAACTCATGCAATTGGAATCTCTTGACCTGTCAAACAATGAGCTTTCTGGCGAAATCCCTCCAAGCATGACAACTCTTACATCTTTAAGCTATATGAATCTGTCATACAACACTCTGTCTGGAAGGATACCAACTGGAAATCAATTCCAGACTTTTGACGCATCTAACTACATTGGGAACATTGCTTTATGTGGTTACCCCTTGACGAACAATTGTACAGGAAATAGTTCAAGTGGCCCTACACATGTAGATCACAGAGATGGATCCGATGATATATCCATTTACCTTGGTTTGGCTGTTGGGTATATCCTTGGCCTTTGGGTGGTCTTCTGTGTGCTGTTGTTTAAACAAAAATGGAGAATTGCTTATTTCATATTTGTGAAAGGGCTGCAGGACAAGATTTATGTGGCAATGGTACTGAGATGGGCCAATTTGAAGAGGAAAGTAGGTGAAACTTAAATATTATTTTTTATGTTATCTATGATAATTATCATGTATGCATTCCATCCAGAACTCTTTTCTATAAATGGCTCTCTATATCCGAGAGTGTTGTGATATAAGTGTATTGTATTAATTGGCATGTACAACTGCCATGTTCTCCATATGTAACAAAAGTTGTGCTATTTATTTACACTTCTGCTTCGGTACACCCCCCCTAAACACATCAATGGCTGAGATTAACCCATACCCCTTCATAATAGAGGACAGGATGGTCTTTTTTGAAAGTACATGGTATGCGCCGATACATTACATTTCCACCTCCGCCATGGGCTGGCCCATTTACGAACGTTTTACTTCACAGTTAAAATTTAAAAAGTCAGTGTCCAACGTGATTCGAACTCAAGACCACCACACAAAATAGTAACAGTCTTAACCAACAGGACTCCTTAGTTACGTTGATTTTATTACTCCCTCCGATCCTTTTTATCTTGCCTATAGTTTTTTTTTTGTGCCTATTTACTCCGCTCGTTCCTGGTTTGTAGCACCTTTTCCCCAAGCCTGCTCCTATTGTTGTGCATGCGGTTGGACTCATGCATCCATGCTTCCAGTAGAAGATAAGAAAAATGTGCGCTGCTTTGAAAGGAAGGAAATCAATATATATTTCTTGTTTTATTTCTTTAAGGAGTACAGCATCACGTACATGTTCTGTTGGCAAGGAATACTCCCTCCGAACCTTTTTTATACTCCCTCCAATCATTTTTATTTCTTACCATGCAGATTTTTAAACTTGGCATGCTGCCTTAGAATGGTGATGCAAGGCCCTAGAAAAATTTCGTCAATTTGAACAGTCGAAAAAATGTACTCTGAGACGGAACCTTCCGCCCAACCCGAACGCTCTACCTGAATATTTTTCCATTTAAATTCGTGAACATTTTCTTAAATTCACAAACATTGTTCTCAAATTCATGAACTTTTTTCCATATACGGGAACTCTTTTCAACTTTTACAAACGTTTTATAAAAGCCCGTAATTTTTTTCAAATTCATAAACATTTATACAAGCACATTGCGTCACGTTCGGCTAGTGTTTTGGGGCTTTTCACTGGGGAAACCCTAGAAAATGCAAAAAATGCAAGAACTCAATGGAATTTATCATGGATGCTTGGCATGTGATGCCAGTGTGTGAAAAAAAAATCTAGGTCCATTTAATTGATGTGAAAAAAAATGCATCCAGACTTGCCCTACCGCCGGCCTACCCGAACCACCACATTTGAACATGGTGTGCTTCTTTCCATGCATGAAATGACGCAAAATTTTGCCAGCATGTGGGCATGCTCAGTGCAAGCCTCTATGCAAAATTTGAAGGAATTCGGGCACAGAACGCACGTTGCGTCACGTTTGGCTAGTGTTTTTTGGGGTTTCACCGGAAAAATCTTAGAAAATACATAAAATATCAGAACTCAATGAAATTTTTCATGGATGCTTGGAATGATGATACTAGTGTGTGAAAAAATCTGGGTCCATTTTATTGATGTGAAAAAATGCATCCAGACTTGCCCTACCGGCCTACCCGAACCACCACCTTTGTACAATGGTGTGCTTCTTTTCATGCATAAAATGACACCAAATTTTTCTAGCATGTGGGCATTCTCATGGCAGGCCTCCATGCAAAAATTGACAGAATTCAGACACCAGAAGCATGTTGCGTCACGTTCGGCTATTGTTTTGGCGGTTTTCACCGAGAAAACCCTAGAAAATGCATAAAATGTCAGAACTCAATAAAACTGATCATGGATGCTTGGCATGATAATACTAATGTGTGGAAAATTTTTGGGTCCATTTTATTGATGTGAAAAAAAAGTGCATCTAGACTTGCCCTACCGACCTATCTGAACCACTACCTTTGAACATGGTGTGCTTCTTGCCACGCACGAAATTATAGCAAATTTTGCTAGCATGTGGGCATGCTCATGGCAGGCCTCCATGCAAAATTTGAAGGAATTTGGACATCGAACGCATGTTGCGTCACGTTCGGCTAGTGTTTTAGGATTTTTTTCACCGAGAAAACCCTAGAAAATGCACAAAATGTCCGAACTCAATGAAATTTATATGGATGCTTGGCATGGTAATGCTAGTGTGTGGAAAATTTTTGGGTCCGTTTTATTGATGTGAAAAAAAGTGCATCCAGACTTGCCCTATCGGCCTATCCGAACCACCACCTTTGAACATGGTGTGCTTCTTGCCAAGCACGAAATTACACCAAAGTTTGCCAGCATGTGGGCATGCTCATGGCAGGCCTCGATGCGCATGTATGCTACACCATCTTATTAATTTTGTATCGCAAATGTCTCTATTTTGCTTCCTGCCCAAAAGAATGAAGCTTCGGTTACACAATAACCAAGACGTGTAGGTTTCAGGAAACATTTATGCTTCCTACACAGTTAAACAAAATTTCGGTTAGATACTAATCATGCTTCAAACAACAGCACACTAGGCTTCCTATGTGCCCAAATAAATGAATTTCTCTTACACACTAATCAGGTATACTTCCAGCATTACTGCCTGATGCTTCAAGGGATTACATGTTGCCTACAACCCAATGTTTCAGTATAGACGCCCTAGTTTCAATCGAGAATATATACACTTGTTTTTTTAGTTGAGAATATATACATCTGGAACGAATTTTTGAAGTACTTTTATTTTCAAAGCAGATTCTTCTGAATAATATATTTCCATCGCATGCGCTTCCATAAATAAATGTTTCCATGGCACGTTTGCGTTGCATAGAAAAATCATCCAGAAGCAATTAAATTTCTTTATTTGTTTATTTATCGGAAGCAAATCTGTCCCGCTAAAAACAAATCGGAAGGAAATATGTAATTAGTGGGAAGCAATATTTTTCGTGTTTGTTTGTTGGAAGCAATCACAACCTACCAAAACAATTGCCCGCAAAAAAAGAACTACCAAAACAATTAGCGTAATTTCTGGGAACCAGTGAGTTGTTACTAAAAGCACATAATTAATTATCGACGGTGAGAATTTTTTTTTGGAGAAATTAGCGGGAGGAGATGCTATATACGTGGGGAGTGTTTACTAGAAGCACTGATTTAGGAAGGAACGTGTCAGCAATGGTAATCCAACGGCCACCGAGACGGACGTACTTAGAGCACAGTCGTACCTGAAATTGTCACAACTGTTATGGTGAAGATCCTGCAGGCTCCAAGCGTGCGAAGATCCTGCCGCCGGCCAGGCTCCAGGCCGGTAGAGCTCCTGCCGCTGACCTACATCTTCTCCTGGAGCTTCTCTCTGTCGCCGGCCGCTGCTTCCGCACAGCAGCTCCTCGCACTCCGGAATCCAGGTCGTCTTCTCCCACTCCAGTCGCCGCTGCCGCACAGGAGCTCAACGCCGTCGTGCCTCCTCAGTCATCCCCAAGCAGACCAGGAACTCCGCCGCGCAGAGAACTATTCCCTCCTCGAGCCACGCTTGCTGGGAAGCCGTGGATCAACGGAATCGAGGCCGTCGCTTCCGCACAGGAGGTCGACGTCGTCTCTGAAGCTGATTGTTGCTGCTCCACAGTGTAGCTTCTGCTGCTGTTGATCCACCGTCGATTGCTGCTGATCCACAGTGTCGATTGCTGCTGAACCCTGTCTCTGACACCAAAGCTCCATCTCTGCTGATCCACGGTGTCGATTGCTGCTGAACCCTGTCTCTGACACCAAAGCTCCATCTCTGCTGATCCATGTCTGAAAAAGAAGAAGAAGAAGGTACTGTAAAGTGTTTATATTTCTGCAGTTAACTGTTCGGAAATTTCGGTGATCATCAGAATATGTTGAAGCAATTTCCAATTTTCCATTGATCCACATAGGCTTCTTTTCTATGAATAAATGCCAAATGGATCATTGGATAGGAGGATTTTTCAAAAGCACCAAGATTGAGGATTATAGCTGATTTAGCGAAGGGCTTAGTTTATCGTCATAGGGACTGTCGGCAAACAATACAGTACAGTTTGGAGCAGAGCAGAGCAGTACAGTTTGTAATAAAAAATCTTTATTCCCTCCATGCATAGAGTTTACAAATCTCAAGCATAGAGTTTGGATCGACAAAATATCATAAGATTACAAGTGTAGGAAGGAGGGATGAGTAGATGATTCCGTGGTCGGCATGGGTGTTGATTGCACAGTCTGCTGCAAATGAAATGATTAGTGTTGTGAGAATTGTACTGAACCTGACACGGGGTTTTGATTTGTTGACAAAAGTTGTCAGTGTCAAACATCATACATATGCGGGCCATGTGTATCACGGGATATGATAGAGATATAGACTAGAAGGTAGTTTGTATGAGATTGAGATATTCTTGTAACCATCTTCTCCTTTCTTCTCTCCCAAGTCTTATCTCTTGTAACCGCATGTTGTACGTCATCTAGAGTTTTGGCTCCCCTACTATATAACATGAACACGTCGCTCCCAACAGAGCAAGACGATTTCCGCTCGCATATGGTAATCAGAGCCCCTCTTCTTCAACTCATCTAGCTACCAAAACAACCCGTGTCGAAGCCGCACCATGTCTTCCTCCTCCGGCGCTTCCTTCCAACCTAGTCTCAATGGCCAGGTCACCGAAAAGCTATCCCGCACGAACTACGTGCTATGGCGCACGCAGATCATACCCCAACTGCGTGGCGCCGGGGTCTTCGGCTACGTCGACGGCACACTACTAGGAAAATGCCCTCTAATGGCGCACCAGTTTTGCCTACTAATGGCGCATCACTGGTGCTCCATTAGTGTCTGCGCCATTAGTATCTGGTATACTAATGGCGCACCACACAGTGCGCCATTAGTATAGAACACCATGCGCCATTAGTATGCCTCCCGGGGGCCATATTTAACCATGTGCTTTGGCATACTAATGACGCACTGCTGGTGGATGCGCCATTAGTATACTTGGCATACTAATGGCGCACTGTTTGGTGATGCGCCATTAGTATACTTTGGCATATTAATGGCGCACTCTCTGGTGATGCG